CTACGATTGAAAATGTTTCATCTAAGTAAACACTTTCCTTGTGATTTATTATGCTGATGTGAGATATATTTTTAGGTCGCAAGGGTAAGGTTTCCGGTCTTGAAACCACCAAAATAGAAGGGCTTCCCTCTATTCAGCCTAAAAATCTCTTTTGTGCAATCATCCTGATTTACATCAGCAAAGGCAATGATCTTCACGAGCAGCACCGTATTACTGTCTCTGCCTCTGTTCATATAAACAGTAATGGTTCTAACACTTACCCCAGGAGAACCTCTCTGGTTACCTAAAACTGTAGTAATATGTGTACTCTATTTTCAACCTATGAAGAAACTGACCGTGTTTCTTGAATATAGGAAACACATGCCTGCGTTCACTTTAACTGTGCTGGTGGACTTCCATGTTAAATACAATTATATGTTTATATCCCTCAACCGAAAGAAATAAATGCAAAGATAAATAACCAATCCTTGCTTGCTCTTGAATCTAGTAATTAAAAACTCTAACTCACTTTCTCGTTTCGCAACTTTATTCCCTACATAAATATACCCTGGCCGGAATCATTAATATGCTATAATTCTCAATTTGTCTAAAGTTTGGTTCTTGTAAACTGGCAATTTGCATGAGGTCTTTATATATCATTTTTTGACTTTTTAAAATTCCCAATGTTTCTTTTGGCTTTTGTAGACCGTTTTGAATCATTTCAGTTCAGCCTTGGTAATAGGTGTATCTCTGGTTTAGAATCAGGCAAAAGCAGATGAAATGATCAAACTCTTGCTTTCTCTCTCATGATCCCAGTGCATCATTATTATGACTGCTACTAATATGATTGTAGTTATTATTATTATCATTTTTGCTATTATTATCTTTATAATTATTTTTATTATTATCATTACCATTTATCATCAGTCATCAACATCATCACCATTATCATGACCATAATAATTATCATTATCATTATTATTATTATCATTGACATTTTATTGTCATTATTACTTTTATCATTGACATTTTATTATAATCATTACTATTGTCATTACTATTTGCATTAATATATTATTATAATCAGTGTTACCGTTATTATCATCATTGTTATTGTCTTTATTATCATTATTATTATTATAATTATCATCATTATCATTTATATCTTCATCGACTAATTATCATTCTTATTATGATTTAATCTTCGTTATTATTGTCATTATTATTTGATCTTCGTTATTATTTTTTTGTTATTATCATTATTATTCTCATTATGGTCGTCATCATCATCATTATTTATTATCATTATCATCTTTACTATTATCATCATCATCATCGTAGTCATTATTGTTATTATTATAACTATCATCATCTTTATTGCCATCTTTATCTCCCTTATTATCGTTATAGTTGCTGTTATGATAATTGTAATGATAGTATTGATCATGATTATGCTATCATTATTGTAGTTTTCATCATTCGTGTTATTGTCCTTTTTATCATTATTGTTATCATTATCATCGTTAATATTAGTATAAACGTTGTTGTTTTAATTATCAAATATATCTTTTTATCATTATCGTTATCTTTTCTATTGTTATTATCATTGTTATAATTTTGTTACGATCTATATTGTAATATTTTTTGTAATTACTTTCAATGTTGTTGCTGCTGATGTTGCTTGCTGTTATGATGATGTTTTCGCGTGAACACTTTTAACCTTTCATTTTATTCGTCCTGTTAAATGAAATATATATGTATACATTTTTTATCAGTTTAGGTTTTGGTGTATTGATAGTGAAAGCTGAGTTAAATATGTATTTTTTCTCATGTTTCCTTAACCTCAAAGTTGTTTTCATAGCGTGCATAGTGTTTTCAGGTAGAGAACCTCAATATTTTCATCTATATGTGAGATTGGTTTCCGGTCTTGTCAAAACAACAACAACAGAAAAAATGCCTTGGTTTTCCTTCTGGGTGTAAAGGCACTTTGGTCTTTGATGTGCACTTTCTTATTTTGGATGTTGTTAGATGTTTCAATCTGAATGTATTCTTTTAATCTGGTTATTTATGTTTTATTTACTTGTTCTTTGGTTTGTGTAGTTTTTCAAGACCCTATTTTTTCTATTAATTTTCATTTAAACTATTTCCCGTTTGCCGTGTGGTTATTTTCACTTTTTGTATCCACAATTATTCATATTCTTCGTTCTATCAGTGATGTTATCTTTGCTTTATTTACCACGGGATGAAACGGCGGGCCGTGTTTGCTGTAGCATGTTTGTTTGCAGTGATATTTTCCCGCACTTACGGCGAAGGGGGAAGGGGGGGGGGTTCTTGTTCAATGTCGGTGGAATTTTGCTCTCTTCTCCTCCGTTTCTTGGCCTCTTGCATTATTCCTCGTTTGATTCTGTAACGCTTCATTATATCAGATTTTTTTTTTTTTTGTCTACCTGTACCTTTTTCTTCTTCCTTGTTTTATTATAGCATTCCACTTAGTTTCCCTCGATGAATTAACTTTCACGCCAGCTTCGTTTATAACCCTGGACAGTTTTCGTCCTTCTCACGTATTTTGATGTTTAAAAAAGTATAGTTTCTGGGTCAGCTAACTCATTAACGTATCTCTTCCTCACTTGAGCCGCTTTTATTGTCTTTCGAAACTGGCATTAAACACTTCTCCTTCACATTCAGCCTCTTTTAGTGTCTCGGAAAGGTCGAGATTGTCTTTCTTCTCCACTGTGGATGCCTCTTTCACAATCGTCTTAGTGGGAATTGTCCGTGGCTGAAGTGGAGACTCGAATGGCCTCCACACACCCTTGATATACTTTGGAATGGGTTTCCTTGTTTATATTTTCCTCTGGCGCTGTTTTCCTCGCCTTTCAGTCACGGCTGACAAAATTCCACTTTATTCGTCCACGCCTTGTCCCAGTCATGGGTTCACTCCCTTGGATTTCTACGTAGGCAGTGACAGGCAGTGACAGGCAGTGACAGGCAGTGACAGGCCCGGTGAATGTAGGTAGTACCCACTCAGCTAAATGTTTAAGCGGCCGGGGTACCAGATCGCGACCCAATTTACTTTCCCGTTTTAATATCTGGGCCTGAGTTATGCTGCAGTATTTATTCTTTGGTTATTGAAGGTTCTTATGTTGGGTTCAGCATTCACGTGTTTACTTGATTAGATGAATCATTGTGTTGCGAAGGCTGGGTTATTCTAAGTATTATTGTCCTCATTATTTTTGTTATCATCATTATCATCACTGTTGGGGTTGTTGTCGATGATGTTGATGTTGTTGTTTTGCTTTTGTTATACTTGATTTCACTCTCATTGTCATCATCACCACCACAACACCATCACCATCATCACCATCAAACTCATCATTATCACTATACCCCATCATCATCATAGACGCTATGTTATTTTCACATGCCATTCTTGCCACAAACTTGTAACAACTTTTTCCGAAAATTTTGTGGGTAGGCATCTAAGTTCCTTTATTAGGCTCATAAGAATGTAATTTGGGCTAGAACTTCATTGAATATCTCCGTAGCGCGCAGTGTTTGCGAAAGTCTTGGTAGAGAGAGAGAGAGAGAGAGAGAGAGAGAGAGAGAGAGAGAGAGAGAGAGAGAGAGAGAGAGAGAGAGAGAAGGAGAGAAGATGGATAGATAGATAGATAGATAGATAGATAGATAGATAGATAGATAGATAGATAGATAGATAGATAGATAGATAGATAGATAGAGAGAGAGAGAGAGAGAGAGAAACGGAGAAAGAGAAAAGAGCAGTGCAAGAGAATGAACGAAAGAGAGAAAAGGAATGAGAGAGGAAGAGAGCGCGAGAGAAAGGGAAGGAAAAGTCAGGAGAGGAAGAAATAGAAGGATAAAAAGAGAGAGAGAGAGAGAGAGATCGGCAGAAGCTAAATCATCAAGAAATATGGCCCATTATTTAAAATTGCAACGGTTTACTTGCAATTTAACAAAAATGTATAATATACCTACTGCAAAAATAATGATATTAATAGTAATGATAATGATGATAATGGTAATAGTGATAGTAGTAGTAATCAAGAAAATTAGTATGATTATAAAAAGGATAATTAAAAGAAATAATGATAATGATGATAATGACAATAATACTGATAAAAATAATAATAACTATAATAATGATAATAATGATAACAATAATGATAATAATAATAATTTTATTAATGATAATATCGATTATAATAATAATAATGATGTTATCCTGCTAACCAACAAACATACAAACGAAGAAACCAACGCGATCAAATCATAATCACCTTGGCGGAGTTAATAATAATGATAACAATAATAATGATAATAATAATGGCAATGATGATAATGATAATAATAACAATTATGATAATAATAATAATGATAATAATAATGATAATAATAATAATAATAATAATAATAATAATAATAATAATATAATAATAAATAATAATAATAATAATAATAATAATAATAATAATAATAATAATAATGATAATAATAATAATGTGATGATAATAATAACAATAATAATGATAATAATGGTGATGATGGCAGTAACAGTGATATTAATAATATTAAAAATGATGATGATGTTACTAAAAATGATAACGACAATAATGATAATGATACTGATAATAATGATGATGATAATGATGATAATAAAAATGATCACTAACAACAATAACAATAATAATAAGGACAATAACAATTATGATAATGATAATACAAATGATGATAATAATGATAACAATAATTATAATAGTAATGATAATAATGATTGTAATGATAATAATGATATTAATAATTGATAACATTAATAATAATAATAATTGTAATGATTGATTGTAATAATAATGATTGATCATAATGATAATAATAATTGATAACATTAATAATAATAATAATTATAATGATTGATTATAACTAATGATTGATCATAATGATAATGATAACAATAATGACAATAATAATGATAATAAGGATAATGACAACCACAATCACATTTTTAATGA